CCAAGTAGCTGGGACTACAGGCACCCGCCACCATGCCCGGCTAATTTTTTGTATTTTTTAGTAGAGACAGGGTTTCACCATGTTAGCCAGGATGGTCTTGATCTCCTGACCTCGTGATCTGCCCGCCTCAGCCTCCCAAAGTGCTGGGATTACAGGCGTGAGCCACCATGCCCGGCCACCTCAGCAGCATTTGATAACTACCTTGCTTTCAGGCATAACAAAACGCCACAGGCCCACCTTGTGCAATTTCTGCCCTAGTTCTGAAATCAAAATCAATCATTTCCTAAAGCCTCACTGGTTCCTTTCAGTGGGAAATGGCATTTAAACTCTGAATTTGGACACCCAGGGTGCTCACAGCCATTAGACTGTCATTCTTCTTGGCCTTTCAGTGAACACAACCAGGAGATATATATATATACACACACACACACACACACGTGTGTATATATGTATATATTTATATGTATATATTTTGTAGAATGAGGAAAATTACTTATAAATTCATACCAACATTGCCAATTCTAATTTCAGATTACAGATTTTTTTACTCAAATATGTGACTCAATCAGATTACAGAATTTATAGCTAACTTCATTGATTTGATACTAGTATCTCTTTTATCTTTAACTGAAAATCTGGGTTTCTAACAATATTGAGTTACTTGTTATTTTATACACATATATAAGTTATACAAAATACATGTAATAACACCTAAACAGGCCAGGCATAGTGGGTCATGCCTGTAATCCCAGCACTTTGAGAGGCCGAGGCAGGTGGATCGCTTGAGGTCAGGAGTTCAAGACTAGCCTGGTTAACATGGTGAAACCTCATCTCTACTAAAAAATACAAAATTAGCCGGGCATGGTGGCACACACCTGTAATCCCAGCTACTTGGGAGGCTGAGGCAGGAGAATCGCTTGAACCCAGGAGGCAGAGGTTGCAGTGAGCCGAGATCATGCCACTGCACTCCAGCTTGGGCAAAAGAGGGAGATTCTTGTCTCAAAAAACAAACAAACCAAAAGAAACAACCTAAACAATAATATTAGTATTATTACAATACCATTATTAAATGCAGTTAATTTTTTTCTGTTTTTAGGCTTTGTCACACTAAGGATATAGAGTCAAATTAACAAGTTTTACAGTCTGTAATTTCTATGTGGTTATGCCAGTGACTCCATGTACACTTTGACTGTTTCTTTTCTTTTAGGAAATGCTTTGTTATTTTCTTTTAAAACACAGTTATGTAGGCTCTTGAGCCGCTTACTTTGGCCCACTCCTGCCCTGTGGAGTGTACTTTCATTTTCAATAAATCTCTGCTTTTGTTGCTTCAAAAAAATATATATATATATGTGGCTGGGCACGGTGGCTCAACACCTGTAATTCCAGCACTCTGGGAGGCCGAGGTGGGCAGATCACGTGAGGTCATGAGCTGCAGATCAGCCTGGCCAACATGGTAAAACCCCATCTCTACTAAAAATACAAAAATTAGCCAGGTGTGGTGGTGGGCGCCTGTAATCCCAGCTACTTGGGAGGCTGAGGCATGAGAATCACTTGAAACCCCGGGTGGCAGAGGCTGCAGTGAGCCGAGATCGCACCACTGCACTCCAGCCTAGGCGACAGAGTGAGGTTCTCTCTCAAAAAAAAAAAGTAAAACATTTACATGAATCCAAAGCTGAAGCTATTAAACACAGTGTGTACAGAGAAATCTAGCTTCCATTCCTATTTCCTTCACCCTGTTATTTTCTTACATGTCACCGTTTTTCTTAGTTTATAATTTATACTTTATTGCTTCTTTAACATGTAAGCAAATGCACACAACATTATGTCTATTTCCCCATCTTTCTTACAAAAAAGGCAACATTTCAACACGTGTGAAAAGGGGGAAAAATAAAAATAAAGGCAACATATACATGGCCTCTGTCCTGCTTTTTTCACTTAACAATACATCCTAGATTTCCAAAGCAGTCCACAGAGATGGTTCTCTTTCCTCTGTACAGCGGCATAAAACTGCATTGTATGGATGTACGTAGCTTATTCAGCCAGCCCTCTGTGGATGGACGTGTGAGTTCAACATTTATTCCATGACCAAATTGTGCCAGGCACTGGGAATAAAGACGTGGTCTCTGGCTTCAGGAAACTCGGAAGTGCAGATGGGGAGATCTCCACAATACAAGTGCTTTCTTTATAAGAAGTAATAGCTTGGGTCCACTTAGCACAAGGGGCACATGGATCAGGGAAGAGACGCTTGCACACAGGAGGGATACAATAACTGTCTATTGATTGGCATCTTGCTTCCACTTGGGCCTACAAACAGGAGAGTCCCCTCGGGAGGAAATGGTTACCCATGGTTGAAATTGCTTAGAAAATCATGAGTGCCACCAATTGGTCAGAGAAGGGAAAGCTGAATGAAAGAGGCCGAGAGGGAGAGTCCCAACCACAAAATTACCCTGGAAAGAGGAAATGTAACAACACAGGAGCTGTGGTTTAACATAAGCCAACACCTGTGTAGAACTTTCTGCTGACCAGATATTGTTCTAAGCAGTTTACATATAACCCCTTTCTCACAACACTCCTAAGTGGTACGAATTATTACTACCTGTATTTTTCCGATAAAGAAATTAAGGTGGCTGGGCGAGGTGGCTCATGCCTGTAATTGCAGCACTTTGGGAAGCTAACGCGGGTGGATAACTTGAGGTCAGGGGTTCGAGACCAGCCTGGCCAACACGGTGAAACTCCGTGTCTATTAAAAATAGAAAATTAGCTGGGCGTGGTGGTGGGTGCCTGTAATCCCACTTACACGCGAGGCTGAGGTGGGAGGATCGCTTGAACCCAGGAGTTTGAGGCTGCAGTGAAATATGATGACGCTACTGCACTCCTGCCTGGGCGACAGAGCAAGACCCTGTCTCTAAAAAAAATTTTTTAATTAAATAAAAAATAAAAAGAAATTAAGGCACAGAGAGTTTACCAAACTTTTGCCCTAGGCCACACAGCAAAATGGAAAGAAGGGCAGGCGAGCAGACAGCAAGACACCGCAGATGGGACAATTGCAAGTAGTGCACCAAGAAGCTGGTGCCCTCCCCAAGGTGGGAGGAAAGTACTGTATGTCCCTCTGCCCCATGACCACCTCCTGGCGAGAACAAAGGACACCCGACACATCACCCCTCCCTCGCCCCTGCGCGCACACACGCCCCTCAGCCTACCCCAGGTCAGAAAACCCCGAAAGGCTTTCTCTGGACTCCTGGACCCCTGGATGCGCGGCTGACGCCTTAAGGGAGTCCCTCTCCGAGCAGTGGCCGACACATCTCTCTCGCGCGCGCCACCCCTCCCAGGGTCCGAAGCTCCCGCCTGTGCAGTGGCACAAATGAAGTTTGCCTCCTCGGGCTCCTGCGAAACCGTGGAAGCCATGAGAGTCACAAGTTCCTAAATGCGACCAGCCCCTCGGGAACTGAAGGCCAGTCGGGCTCAATTCCACCCTCCAGGAAGGCGCAGGAAGAGGGAACAAGATGTGGGGGACTTAACACAGGGCAGTAGCACAGGAGCGACCCTTCTCGCGCCTTCTCAAAACCCAACCAAACACGGCTGGTTTCCACATCCACCGGGGCCAGAGCCCGCAGCCTCTGGCTCCCCTGGCCAGTTCCGGGCGCCGCCTGCGGCCCATGTCCAAGACTGCGCTCTGTTGTCCCCGCACACCCGGCGCCGACATCGGCGGGGCGGGACCAAGACGGATCCTCCAACGCGACGACCCGCCTCACTCGGGGCTGCCCCAAATGCCACTTGGGGCCTTCTACCTTGACGCTAGAATTTGAATTTTCAAACGCTTGTGCATATAGGCTTTAGAACCCTAGCTCCAGAAACCAGCTAAAGTATTGCATTGAACAGAAAACCAAATACCGCATGTTCTCACTCGTAAGTGGGAGCTAAACACTGGGAACACGTGGACATAAAAGTGGCAACAACACTGAGGTCTACTAGAGGGGGCACTAAAAACGGGCCAAGCTGCACTCCAAATCCCAGCATCACACAATATATCCAGGTAACAAACCTGCGCAGGTATCCCCAAAACCTAAAAAATTGTAAACCATTAAAACACACTGCACAGGCCAGGCGTGGTGGGGCTCACGCCTGTAATCCCAGCACTTTGGGAGGCCGAGGCGGGCGGATCACGGGCCGAGAGATCGAGACCATCCTGGCCAACATGAGGGAAACCCCCCGTCTCTACTAAAAATACAAAAATTAGCTGAGCATGGTGGCGCGCGCCTATAGTCCCAGCAACTCGGGAGGCTGAGGTAGGAGAATCTCTTGAACCCGGGAAGCGGAAGTTACAGTGAGCCGAGCTGGCGTCACTGCACTCCAGCCTAGCGACAGAGCGAGATTTCGACTCACAATAAAACACACACCCACCTCACAGTTGTACAACGAAAGAGCACCCGTGCATGTATCCTACAGACAGAAAATAATGGAATCCACCAACGGTAACTACAAGACCATTAAACCAAAACACCTACTATCGTAACTAGCAAGAATGTAAACTACAGTGTTAGATTGATCCTTGAAGTTCAGATCAGACAGGGAATGTGCCGACGTCGTAACAAGGTTGTAGGGTGGCACATCTCACACAAACGTGTGAATACCCAATCATCACGCTCATGAACTACAAAAGGATCATCTTATAACACCCATTAAGGAGCTCCAAGTATGTGCCACTAATTTTACAGATAGGGTGACTACCGTAATGCGACATATCGAGTCTTCATATATAAAACCCTGGATGTTTTCAAAGCCACACGGAGATTCTGTGATTATTCTTTTGTTTCTACCTTAGCAAAGGAAAGCAGAAACACAATTAGCGAGCGGATTATTATATATGCAAATTTATTCTCCATGGTTCCACCGCTCGGTCTTGTTCTCGAGCATGGATCTTTATTGCTTTACGACCATACGTCGTGAAATAAGAAGGTGTTGCGGCAGTACTGCAGTACTGGCGGAAGCTAGCCTTGTGCTTTGCGGCAGCAATATGAGCTAGGTCCGGATCCTGCTATACACCGACCGGCGCGAGCGGTTGCAAGTTCCTGGCGGTGGTTGCGTTGGTGACATGGCTCAGAAGTTTATTTCTTTAAAGTTTTAAGGTATTTTTTTTCTTTTTAGTCTTCAGAAAGCAACAGTAGTTTTTTTTGACGTCACCGTTACAAGTATAAGACTCTTTTACTCCCCGAGAGTCCCCTTTTCCTTTCTTGTGTCTCTTCCTTTCTCTTTATTCTTATCCCGGTCAGACTCGCCCCTCCTCCAAGACATCTCTCCGTTTTATTTTATTTGACTTTAGTTCTCGTTGAGTGATCGCTCCTTCCCTCTTCAGCGGATCCCTCCCCGCCTCCATCCTCGTCCTGTGGGAGAGACCAGCCTTCTGGTGTTGCAGTCAGGAATGGAGCTTGACAGCGCCCTGGAAGCCCCGTCGCGGGAAGAGTCTTCTTTGTCCGGGGAGTTGTCTCCCTCCGCCCTTGGACAGGCCTTCTCCAAGATTTTACACAGTCTTACCCGCCCGGAGGCACGACGAGGCAACGTAAAAGATGTAGCTCTTAAAGACCTCGGTGATCTAATAGAAGCCACCGAATGTGATAGGTTATTTGAGGGGAGTGGTGCACGGCTCCGCGGAATGCCGGAAACACTGGGGCAGGTGGCAGAAGCCGTGGAGAAGTATGCAGCCCCCCGCAAAGAGGAGGAAGGTGGAGGTGATGGGCACTCTGAAGTGGCCGAGAAAGCAGCCAAAGTTGGGTTACTGTTTCTTAAGCTGTTGGGGAAGGTTGAGACTGCTAAGAATTCCCTGGTCGGCCCTGCATGGCAGACGGGCCTGCATCACTTGGCAGGACCGGTTTATATTTTTGCCATCACACACAGCTTGGAGCAACCGTGGACCACTCCGAGATCTCGGGAGGTTGCTAGGGAGGTGCTCACCTTACTGCTTCAAGTTACTGAATGCAGTTCTGTGGCAGGATTCTTACGCGGAGAAAATGAAGATGAGAAAGGGAGTCTTTCGGTGATATTAGGGCTTCTCAAACCCGACTTGAATAAGTGAGTACTCCTGCCCTTTGCCACCGACTTGAGCCTCACAGTTTTTTATTTTTATTTTTTATTATTTATTTATTTTTGAGACAGAGTTTCACTCTTGTTGCCCAGGGTGGAGTGCAATGTTGCGATCTCGGCTCACTGCAACCTCCGCCTCCTGGGTTCAAGCGATTCTTCTGTCTCAGCCTCCGGAGTAGCTGGGATTACAGGTGCCCGCCACCACGCCCGGCTAATTTTTTGTATTTTTGGTAGAGACGGGGTTTCACCATGTTGGGCAGGCTGGTCTCGAACTCTTGACATCAAGTGATCCACGGGCCTCCGGCTCCCAAAATGCTGGGGTTTCAGGCGTGAGCCACTGCACCTGCCCTACCTTAATTTTTTAGAGCATTAGACCTCAAAGGAAGCTGAGTTTCTTCATCAGTAAAATAAGGGTGCTGTAACCACAGAACTCTAAAGGCCCAGAAATGTTGCGATTTGATATAAATGACATAACCGGATAGTGGCAAATTGGAGGTCATAACTGAGGTGTTCAGGTTCAGTTGTCCAGTGCTCTTTCCAGCGCTTAGGACGACTGCTTAGGAAAATTGGAAATTCTGTGCCACTTTCTTGGAGTTAATAATTACAAAATGTGGCCGGACGAGGTGGCTCACTCGTGTAATCCCAGCACTTTGGGAAGCTGAGGCGGGTGGATCACTTCAGGTCAGGAGTTCAAGACCAGCCTGGCCAACATGGTGAAACCCCATCTCTACTAAAAATACAAAAATCAGCGGGGCATGGTGGTGGACGCCTGTGATCCAAACTACTCGGGAGGCTGAGGCAGGAGAGTCGTTTGAACCCGGGAGGCAGAGATTGCAGTGAGCTGAGATCGGGCCACTGCACTCCAATCTGGGCAAGAGAGTAAGACTACATCTCAAAAAAAAAAAAAAAAAAACAAATTACTGGAATTTGGTTGGGGGATTTGGAGAGGATTTAAAGTTACGGTTTGAATTTAGACTTGGGGATCTTGAATGTCATTACCAGTTGTTGGAAGCCATTTTAGGATAAAGAGTGAATACCGGCCGGGCGCAGTGGCTCATGCCTGTAATCCCAGCACTTTGGGAGGCTGAGGCGGGCGGATCACGAGGTCAGGAGATTGAGACCATCCTGGCTAACACGGTGAAACCCCGTCTCTACTAAAAAAATACAAAAAATTAGCCGAGCATGGTGGCAGGCGCCTGTAATCCCAGCTACTCGGGAGGCTGAGGCAGGAGAATGGCGTGATCCCGGGAGGCGGGGCTTGCAGTGAGCCCAGATCGCGCCACTGCACTCCAGCCTAGGCCGCAGAGCGAGACTCTTGTCTCAAAAAAAAAAAAAAAAAAAAAAAGGAAAAAGCACCTTTAGATTGCTATTAAAGTTCTTTCAATGAGTTTCCACTTGCTACTTTGGTAGCACTGGAGTGATGAGAGAAGAAGTATCTGTAACTGTCATTTTACCAGGAACATGGAGTTAAAGGGCTTGATTTTGAGTTTTGTGCTTCTATTTGTTGCTCTGAGTAGGACTAGATTAGACAGTTTTCTGAATCCATTTGTTTCTAATATAAAGATAATATACTTGGCCAGGTGTGGTGGCTGACACCTGTAATCCCAATACTTTGGGAGGCCAAGGCTGGCAGATCACTTGAGGCCAGGAATTCGGGACCAGCCTGGGCAACATGGTGAAACCCCGTCTCCACTACAAATATAAAAATTATCCGGGTATAATGGTGCAAGTGTGTAATCCCACCTACTCAGGAGGCTGAGGCAGGAGAATCACTTGAGGCTGGGAGGTGGAGGTTGCAGTGAACCTAGATGGTGCCACTGCACTCCAGTGTAGGCAATAGAGCGAGACTCTATTTCAGAATAAGTAAATATAATATACCTATTACACTGTAATTATTTTGAGGATTAGTTAAATCATGTGTACACTCACTTTATTAGCTATTAACAGGTATTCAAGTATTGATTCATTTGTTTCCTTAGTGTAATAATACTAACACATTGCCTTTACTCCTCTCTCCCTTCTCAACATACCTTCACCATCCATCACCATAAGTCCTCTATGTAGCTCTGGTTATAATTGGCTCCTTCTCATTGGATAGGCTTTAGACCCAAAGACCTGGGTGATTAAGTATTTGGTGTAAGTTGTAGAAGTTATTTTAATCCAAATCTTAAAATGTATGATGTAGAATTAAGAGTTATCTTATGTGCAATGTATTTTTTTTTTTTCAAAGACATGAAAATACTCTGTTTAGCTTGGAAGTAGTTTATTTTTTTGCTACTTATCACCATGTCACTTAATGTAATTTTATGTATCCATTTAGGGAATCCTGGAAGAATAACCCTGCCATCAAACATGTTTTCTCATGGACTCTGCAACAGGTCACTCGGCCCTGGCTGAGCCAGCATCTGGAAAGGGTACTTCCTGCATCATTGCTCATTTCAGATGATTATCAGACTGAGAACAAAATCCTGGGTGTACACTGTCTCCATCACATTGTGCTTAATGTGGTAAGCAACCTCTACCTTGTCATCCATGTTGATGGGACAGACTGAGTCATTCCTGGCTGTTCTTCATTTCTGGTAATGCTAAGTCATTCAGCTTTACCTATTTGTATTTTTTCCTTATATTTTTCTCTATCAACCTGGTAGAAGTTGTATCCTATAGGTAATGTAATAACTAAAATGATAATTATAGAAGAAACAGGAAGGCATGGGTCATTATCAAACCGAATAACCAGATCTTGAGAACTGGTGAGCAGCTGACTTTTTTTTTTTTTTTTTTTGAGACAGAGTCGCACTCTGTCACATAGGCTTGAGTGCAGTGGCGCGATCTCGACTCACTGCAACCTCCATCTTTTAGGTTTAAGCAGTTCTCCGCCTCAGCCTCCTGAGTAGCTGGGATTACAGGCGCATGCCACCATGCCCAACTAATTTTTGTATTTTTAGTAGAGACGGGGTTTCACCATCTTGGCCAGGCTGGTCTTCAACTCCTGACCTTGTGATCCACCCGCCTCAGCCTCCCAAAGTGCTGGGATTACAGGCGTGAGCCACTGCACCGGCCTACTTGCTTTGTTTCCTTTTTTTTTTTTTTTTAGACATTATCGCTCTGTCACCCAGGCTGGAGTGTGATCTTCGCTCACTGCAGCGTCCGCCTCCCGGGTTCAAGTAATTCTCTTGCCTCAGCCTCCCTAGTAGCTGGGACTACAGGCGCCCGCCACCTCGCCCGGCTAGTTTTTTTGTATTTTTTTTTTTAGTAGAGACGAGGTTTCACCGCCTACTTGCTTTGTTTCCTTTTTTTTTTTTTTTGAGACATTATCTGTCACCCAGGCTGGAGTGTGATCTTCGCTCACTGCAGCGTCCGCCTCCCGGGTTCAAGTAATTCTCTTGCCTCAGCCTCCCTAGTAGCTGGGATTCCTCCCTAGTAGCTGGGGCTCCCTAGTAGTGGCCACCAAACCCAGCTAATTTTTGTATTTTTGGTGGAGACAGGGTTTCACCATATTGGCCAGGTGGGTCCCAAACTCCTGACCTCAGGTGATCTGCCTGTCTTGGCCTCCCAAAGTGCTGGGATTACAGAGATGAGCCATCATGCCCAGCCTACAGTTGACTTTCAAGTAGGAAAACAAAACAAAATCAGAATCTGAAAGGGACTATACCCAAATGTGGAAGCTATTACTCAAGGAAAAATTTTTTAAAAGAAACTTTGTAGTATGGAGCTTTTAAAATATACATGGAAGTGGAGAGAGTGG